GACCGGGGCTAGAAGAAGACAAATTTAGTCTTATCATTAAGCCCCAAAAAATGCGTCATTACTTGACAAAATATAGTTTGACAATAAAATATAGTTTCAATGTATATATCTCTGATTTATATTATAAAAGAAAATTTAAATATATCGCATATCGTTTAAAATTTATAGTTTTTCAAAGAATAAGATTTAACAATTGTTTTGTAAAATAAAAGAAACAAAATTTAATAAAATATTAAAATGACATTTAAGACTTGGTTTGAAAAAATAAGAAGATATGATTTTATATAAAAACATTTTATTGGTAGAGCATTTTATAGTTTAACTTATTTAATTATATTTATAATACTTTTCATTGTCAATTAAGTAAAAGCAAATAAACAGTATAAAATAAAAGTAAAAGATTAATAAATAACGCAAAAATAAAAAATAAATTTCTCAAAAAGAAGATTATCATTTAAAATAATAAAAACATATGTACAATTGTTGATTAATTATGTATTAATAATCTAAAGTAATTAATTAATTAACTATTAATTATTGATTTCTAATATAAAGAAGTTTTATTAGAAAAAATTTAATTCATTTTCAGTTAACAAAAGTAATTGCTTAAGTTTTGTTTTGAATTGGTTTAGAGAATAATTAGTTTTCATTTCATTATTTAATATTATGTTCCACAACTTTGGTCCTCGGTTTACAATAGAGAATTTAGTAGCGGAATAATAAGTTTTGGATTGAATGTAGTTGTATTTTGAAAATCTTGTAGGGTATATGTGATTTATTTTTTCAAAAATTGAATAAAATAAGATTGGTAATATATTTTTATCAAGTTTGAACATGAAAATAAGAACTTGATAGAGGTTTAGTTTATATACATTTAGGATATTGAGTTCATTAAAAAGTGTTTGTGTGTGTGAAAAACGATCTACGTTTGAAATTATCCTTATAGCCTGTTTTTGTTTGCTAAGCAATTTTTTTATTTTTGCCGCGTTAGTGCTACACCAAGCAATGTTCGCATAACTTAAGTAGCAATGAATAAAAGAAAAGTAAATGTTTTTTAAACAAGATCGATGTAATAACTGCTTTGCTTTGTACATTATTCCTAAATTTTTTGATATTTTATCTTCAACTACACCTATGTGTTCCCTCCAGGTTACATTTTCGTCTAGAAACACGCCTAAAAACTTTATTGATTGCTCTCTCTTTATTAATTGATTGTCAATAAAAAGGTCTGGGAGTTCTAAGGGAATATCTGATTTTTTATGTAGGCGATGGAATAAAGTGTATTTTGTTTTAGTAATATTTAAAGATAATTTGTTTGATTTAAACCATTGGGTTAGTTTGTCTAGTTCTTTGTTTAATGTTTGGAATAATATATTGATATCTTTATTGGAATAAAACAAGCTGGTATAATCTGCAAATAAAATTGTATTTAAAATGTTAGAAAATTTATTTAAATCGTTTATATAAACAAGAAATAGAAGTGGCCCTAAAATTGATCCTTGAGGAACACCACATTTAATTGTCTCATAATTAGTTTTTCCTTCATCATAAACTATATACTGCTTCCTATTGGTCAAATAACTCTCGAACCAGGACAAGTTAGTATTTTTTATACCATAACTTTTGAGTTTCGATAGAAGGATTTGATGATTGACTGTATTGAAAGCTTTACTTAAATCGATAAAAAGACCTAGGGTATACTTGCCTTCATCAAACGATTTAAATATGTCCTGAACAAGGTGAATGATTGCATGATCGGTGGAATGGCCAGATTTGAATCCAAATTTGGGAAGGCCTCATAGAAAATAGCAAAAATCTTTTTAAGTTCATGTATGCTAAATGTATTAAAAAAAATTGTCTGAAACCTAAAAACAAGTAAAATCTTTGTATTTTTGCCCTTTTAGCCATAAAAACAAAAAAAAGATCTTTATTCAAAATAGCGGTACCAAATTTTGACAATTTTTTCAAAACTTACTTTTGCATCATTCAAATAGAAACTTACAAAAATTTTATTTTTTAATTAAATGTATATTATACACCCAGTGCCTTGGCTAGAGGTTCACAGCCCCCCACTTCCCCCTCCCCTATCCCAAAAAAAAAATAATACTACTAATAATAAAACACATCAACAACCTGTCATTAGGGCTCCAAAATTTTAAAAAACTTAAAAAACATAGCTCCTCTAATTTGCTAACAATAAAAAACTAATGAATATTTATTGTATTGATTTATTAATTACTCGTACTGATTATATGGTTATCATCTAGACTAGATGAGAATTGAGTTTTAAGAAAACTTTTGTAAACTATTGTATTGATTTTAATAATTACTCGTACTGATTATATGGTTATCATCTAGACTAGATGAGAATTGAGTTTTAAGAAAACTCGCAGAGAATTGAGTTTTAAGAATTTTGATTTTAATAATTACTCGTTCTTGAGAATTGAGTTTTTTTTAAATACGTACCAAACTGGGTCCCTGGATCATTAAACTCACATTCTCTGGGGGTGCCCACACCACTTCCCTCCCCACCCCCTCCCCCATCAAAAAAAATTGCCTCTGTCGGTAATACGGCTAGTATTATATTAGCTCAAAGCATAGATGAAGTCGTAAAAAATGTTCATAACAAAGTTTTAGTCAAAAAAGGGTACAATTTAAATGTTTATTATTTACATTTTTAACTTTATATCAAAAAAATAATTTTTTGATTATCAGGCTTAAATATGAAATCAATGAGTTTCAGCCTTATTCATTTTTTGATTGCAAGTATAATATTATTTTATGCGTAAATATTATCATTTGTCTAATCTAACCCATACAAACTTTAATTCAATGACATTGATACTTATTTATTGCTGATTGACGCAATAAATAATCCATAGGGTAGTTATAAAAAATTTTTTATTTTTATAAAGACAATATTTTAAAATGTCGCAAAGTAATTAATACTTCTATTATTTTCTTAGGAAAAAGTATTGAAACATTATTACTCATTGGATTACTAATAAACATTAATTTTTATAAATTTTAGTTTACTTGCAAGTCAATTTTTTTCAAATAAAGATAATTTGAAAACAAAATGCTCGTTACATGACGCCCCCCCCCCCCCCTGATTTGAAAAGTTGCAGTACACATACAAAGAGTTATTCTTATTATTATTGTTGTTGTTGTTATTATCGTATTATAATTATTATTTTTATTATGTGTTTCACTATTGTTATGTATGTATTTTGCTGATAAGTAAAGTTAATCGTAGTTAAACTAATAAAAATAAAGTCTGATAAAAGTTTAGGATCGGTGGAAAGGTTACCGAAACTTTTAGGAAAAGTTTAAGTGCCCATTCCATCGATCACGCAGTTACTCACCATGCTCATCGTATACTACACATACAAAGAGTTATTCTTATTATTATTGTTGTTGTTGTTATTATCGTATTATAATTATTATTTTTATTATGTGTTTCACTATTGTTATGTATGTATTTTGCTGATAAGTAAAGTTAATCGTAGTTAAACTAATAAAAATAAAGTCTGATAAAAGTTTAGGATCGGTGGAAAGGTTACCGAAACTTTTAGGAAAAGTTTAAGTGCCCATTCCATCGATCACGCAGTTACTCACCATGCTCATCGTATACTAAAACGTTTTATATTCAATATGAAGCATTTCATTAAGAGTATACTCTTAGTCGTGGGCGCTTAAATTATTCGTGTGCTTGCAAGATTTTTTGATGTTTTAGATAGGACACTTTCACGCATTTTGCTAACTCCAAACTTAAGTATGTTCACACATATGCCTAAAAAGGAGGCCTTGTAATAAACTGAGAAGGTGGAAGCCTGGGATTAAAAAAAGCTCTAGAACATTTATCTCCTCCCCCTCCGACTCATTTCCTTCCCCCTTCCCCTTCTAAAATGAGGGTGCTTTTTTGCAACAATTTTCCATACTTTTAATTATGACTGTGTATAATACATGCTTAAGGTAAAACTTAGCTTTATATAATTAGATGAAATATGAGGCAACTAATGTTAACATCTTTTAGATTTGTTTAAATATACTTTTCATTATTACACTTTCGATATTTTATTTATATTATGCAAAACTACAATAAGTTTGATTGTATACAAAGGTAGTATGAAATTTACTGTATAAATGTAGATTTATAATAACTTAGCCAATTTTATATTCTTCTTTCTGTTTTAGACCAATACCTTTTTAAAAATGTTTTGGTAAATGTTTTTATGTAATTCATTGTAACATCCGTTAATAGGAAAACTATAAGCGATATCGAGAAGGAAGACACTTGGTAAATAAAATTACTAGTCTATCAACCAATATAGCTTTTAAAACAAGTATTTTAAGGAACAAAGTACTTCAAAATACTTTCCTTGAACCTTTTATGT